TCACATGACCAGGCACAGAGGCTATCCGGAATTTCTCAGTTGATTATCGTTCTTTTATTCACTTTTAACATTAATGAGTGCTTACTTTGTGTAAGACACCATGCAGGCTCCTGAAGCATCAGAAACAAATACTTTCTACTTTCAAGGAATTCAGAGTCCAGGTCTTTGCTACATTTGGAAATGCTAAACTCCTCTGACTATTTAAGTAAAAATAACAATCAATCGGAATTACAAGTTACTCTTGATGTGAGCACAGCATTTACATTTCATCACGTGGACTATGAGGTTGGTGAATTCCACCAACGACACAAACCAACCTCATCGCAACACCAGCCTATGTAATACACTCTTCCCTTTTCCTAGACTCTCCCTCTTGGTCCACAGTGCCTCCATTCTGGTTCATCTCAGTACCTCTATCCATGTCAGCTAAAAGTTCTGTGCTCAAACCTCCTTTTTACCTTCTGGGATCCCTTGTGTTCTCATTTCAATCCCGGAGCATTCCATTCTTCCCGATGCAGGATACCCATGCTCCCTCCTCTACCTGAAGAACTCCAATTCTATGGGGACGAATTCCCTTACATCTTCCTTTCCAAGACATTCCACTGTTCAGCTGGAAGCCTGTTGTGCTTTTCTTGAAAATCCTCACCTAAGCACACTACTCTGACTCTTTACTAAGAATACAGATGCTACAGGTGTTTTCTAATCTTGTCAGAAAGCTTCTCTATATCTTTCCAGTTCTCATCTTCCTTCCTCCCTTGGTGAAGATCATGACTCCTGTCACTCATTCACAGAATACATACCTGGAGGGCACCTGTCACAAGCTGGGCTTTCTAGGCACCGGTGGTATGGAAGTAAACAAGCTAGAAAAGGTCCTGCTAACAGGGCTTATGTTCTAGTGGATGGGAGGAAATAAACAAGTGAACAAGTAAAAGGATGATTTCAGGTAATGCAATGAGCTATGAAGAAAATGGGACAAAAAAGGTGGCATAGGTAGGGTAGACTTTAGATGAGAAGGTCAGAGAAGGATGCTCTGAGAGGCGCAGAATGAAGACAAAGAGGTTGGCCAACCAAAAATCATGCAGAGAAGCATTCTGGCAGAGGGTGACAGTGGCAAAGACCTGGAGGCAGGGGAGAGTGTGGCACATTCTGGGAAAAGACCAATGGACCCTTGAAGCCTTGTAGCCGAGGGCCAAGGTGGGCCTGTGCTGGGTCTCTGCTGGGGATGCCATTTCCACCTGCATCACCTCACAGATCACAAGCCATCAATGATTTCTGATTCTTCACACCATTAAGCTGTTCCTCTTCACTAGTCCCTTCTTATGTACTTAAAAACGTTCAAGACATGTTCAGCCCCAAAATATTTTCTCTTTAACTTGTCCTGCTTTTTGGAACATCTTCCTTTTAAGATTGTATTTTCCCAAACTTCCACTTTGTATTGTATGTTCCGTCACTTCCACTTCCTGACTTATCTTTTGTATCCCTGTTTCTGGGCACACTATCACTTTCGGTACACTGTCCAATCATCAGTAACTTCATGGTTTCAAATCCAGTGACCATTCTTCAACCCTCATCCTTCCTGAGTTTGGGTCACATTCTTGACAATCCCCCTTTCCAAATAGTCTTTTCCCCTCTTTCCATAAAAATGCATTCTTCTCATGCTCCTTCTACCTTTGTGACCCTTCTTTGTTTCCTCCCGGACCTCTTAAATGGAGTTGTACCCCTAAGTTTTTCCTTCACAGTTGCTCTTTCTCCCTCCCTCCCACCTCTTTCCCCTCGCTTTAACGATCCCATTCACTCTGAAGGCCACAGGCCAGGCCTTCTCTGTGGGTGATTCCCACAGCTGTTTGTCTCCAATTCTGCCAGCTCTTGGGATATCCAGAAACATTTTTTTCAGCAGCAAGGGAAAGTGTTATGTCACTTCAAACTCCGCATGTTCTTAACTCAATTCAGCTTCCTCCTCCTCCAACTAGAAACTATGTTCCTGATGGATTTATACTTAAACCTAATCAGTGCTATCTCTACGATGAATTTCAAATGTTCGCTTTGTCCCCTTGCTACCGCCAACACCCTCACTGCCTTCTCACGCACATCTACTGTGCTCTCAAGGACCTCTCGCCCGGATTAATCCAGTCCTTGTTAACTCCTGCTGCTGCTACCACATCTTGCCAACACCAAGAGGATGATGTTCCTAATAATCACTTGCATCTTGACACTTTATTTCTCAAAAACCTTCAGCAACTCCTCACTGTTTACCCAATGAAGCAAAAATGCTTACCACAGCTTTGGAGCCTTCAATGACCACAAAGCTATCTTAGCTCGATCGCCAGCTCACCCCTTGATCAGCCTCTAAGTTATGGAAATGGCTTTGTTTGCTCTTGCTTTTCTTATTCTTTTGACTTGGAACACCATCCAACATATCTACTAGTTAAAATCCTACTTATGTTACTTATGTCTCATTCAAATGACATCTCTCCCAATTAATTTTCCCTGATTTCCTCAGCAGAAAACAAGTTTCTCCAAATTCACACTGCCTTGTATTATAGTTATCTGCGTATGTGTACCTGCAGTATTTTTGTTGCAGTCACTATTACTTTATCTATCTGAGGACAGTGGCCTCCTCCCCCCTTTTTTATATACCCACAGTGCCTGGGATAATGCCTTTCTGGGGTATAAAAAGTCAGGTTCTAATACTAATTTTAAAATTATCTTTAACCTGTAAATTAGTTAACATCACATATAAACCTATACTTGATAAAGTTCATCTCCTATTAAAAAGAGGTATTTGGAGTGTGAATATATAATGCAAGAAAATTAAGGCCTAAATTGGATGTGTTATATGTCTGACTTTGGCGTATCCAATTTTCTTCAATCAAGGTGCACCGGTATCTGTGCCATTTAAGAACACTGACTCAGAAATACTTTGAACTGCTAGAGGAGTTGACTGAAGCCAAGGTGAGGTGTGTGTAAGAGTGAACACAAAAGATAAGTGCCAACACCACTTTTGCTTTCCATCGTTCTCTCTTTCATCTGCTATTGTCAAAGTCTGAGACTATACCATATAAGAATATTTCCCTAATTCCTGAAACTACATATTTTAGCATCGAGACATTGTCATTTTATCCTGCTGTGAGGGAATTATCACTCACATCCCACTTAGCCTGAACATGTCCTGACTGGCTCAACCTATTGGTCTTATAATCTTCTTCCTTTTAGCAAAGAGGAATTCCACCTGTCCACTGGCTTGGGAAAATATCCGTGGTGCTGCCCATGACTGCTCCACCCCACTCCCCACCCCCCAGCATATCCCATATACGAATCAATAGTGAATTCTGTCAGCCCCACCTTCAGAAAATATCCCAGATCTGATCAGGTTTTACTACCTTCACTGCTACTGGCTAGGCCCAAGCCTCTATTACCCTTCATCTATATTTTTTTGCATCAGCCTTTTAAATGGTCTCTCTACCTCCTCTTTTGCCATCAATTGAGTTTATTCTTAGCACAGCAGATTACGAGATCCTACTCAAGTGTGAGTCAGATCATGTCACTCCTCTGCTCAAAATCTGCCAAGCTCTTCTACTCATAGAGAGTCAAAGCAAAACCCTCTCACTGGCCTACTCATACCTACCTAACCTGGACCCACATCCTGAGGGTTCTTCTCTGGCCTCATCACTTTCCTCTCTTCTTCTCTGTCATCATTTCCAGACACATCACTTTCTCTGCTGTTCCTCCAAGAAGTCAGGCTCCCTCCTGCCTTTTATTTTATTTTATTTTTTGAGACAGAGTTTTGCTCTGTCACCAGGCTGGAGTGCAGTGGTGTAATCTCGGCCCACTGCAACCTCTGCCTCCTGGGTTCAAGTGATTCTCCTGCCTCAGCCTCAAGAGTAGCTAGGAATACAGGCACGTGCCACCATGCCCAGCTAATTTTTGTATTTTTAGTAGAGAAGGGGTTTCACTATGTTGGCCAGGATGGTCTTAATCTCTTGACCTTGTGATCTGCCCGCCTTGGCCTCCCAACATGCTGGGATTACAGGTGTGAGCCACCGTACCCAGCCCACTCCTGCCTATTTACCGTCCTTTTTCTTATTTGTTTCTGGGTTCAGAGCTATGCTGCCAAGGGCCAAACCTTCTGAAATTTGACTTTCAAATGAATTAAGGTACAATAAAGCAAGAACCTTAGGATCTCAGTCTATGTAAAATCAGCGCAGTAACGGTTAGCAAGGTATTGCATACTCTTTAAAGGCTCAACACTGTTTGAAGATGAAGAAAGATAGGTGGGAAAAAATTAAACAAAATTAGATGATTCTTAAGTTACTCTTTTCACGTTTCTCATTTCCAGGATAAAGACTGGTCTTAAGAAACTCAAGAGGCACTTTTGGAAATAGCAATTCACATTTAGTACCTGATTAAAATAGTTATTTCCTGAACATCAAAAGAAAGACTATTTGAGATTGTACCTTGAATATAAGTCCAACCAAAATGTATAAATGTAATATTGACATTTATTCCAATACTATATAATTCTAAAAAGATTTTTCTTATTTCTACTGAAATACCAACCTGGGAAAATAAGTCATCATTTGTGTTACATTGTTATAAAAAAACTGTAAAATCTGGAAATGCTCATTAGATGACTGAGGGAGGATCTGAAACTTAGTCTCCTTTTGGGAAAATTAAGGGATACAGCCCCAGTATTTCTAATCAAAATAATATCTGACGACATTATAATATTGCTTTACTACAATGTGTATTTAATGACTATGGAATAGGATATTCCATATAACACCTTTCATGAAAATCAAAGAAAAAGGAAATTCCCTAGACTATTTCACTGGTGCTTAGACATAAGAGCAAAATACTTAAGTTGCTTGACTGAAGAGTTTATACATTTCAAGAGAAATTCCATGTCTACTACCTTTTGGAGATTAAATGAAAGAGTGGTGGCAGTGGATTCTAAACATGGGTTTCAACTGACTGTTAAAAAAGCCAATTAAATAACTTACCTTTTCCAGTGTCATCTCTGTCTCAGCAGCGTGAGTCTTTTTCAGCTCTATTTTCATCTTTTCTGATTCGGCCTTCAGTTTGTTGATGACAGTCTCATGTTCCCTGGTAGCCCTTTGCTTTTCCTCTTCACGAAGAAGACCAAGCTCTACCAGCTGCTGTTTCCGCTGTGAGTTCACATTAATCAGCTCTTCTCTCAACTTGTGAACCTGAGCCTCCATGTCAGCAATAACCTTATTTTAAAAAATGGAAAAATGGGTAGAGGATATGAATAGGGAAGTCACAAGAGAAGAACCAATGGGCAAAAGGCCAATAAGCGAAATATGAACATATGAAAGTTTAGCTTGCACTCCATCCTTTCTTCTTTCCTCCCTGCCCTCCCTTTCTTCCTTCATTCCTTCTTTCCTCCCTCCTTCCTCTCCCTCCTTCATTCCGTACTCCCATGTCTTTCCCTCCTAGCTTAAAGGCAAATACCACCTGGAACATTTTACCATACATTTGTATCCTTAAACAGCATATTGTTTAGTTTTACTTGTTTCTAAGATCTGTGTAAATGGAATATTACATATATTTTTCTGAAACTTGCTTTTTCAAATATTCAACATCATTATGTTCCTGAAATCCATCCAGTGTTCCCTATTGGATTTTTCCTTTTTATTTATTGATTTCTGCTTTTATTTTTATGTCCTTCTTCCTATTTTTTTAAGGTTTATTTTGTATTCCTTCTAACTTCTTATTTTGGATACTTATTTATTTTTGTCATTTATTCTTTTCTGATTTATAAATGTAAAACTACAAATCATTCTCTATTGATTTAGTTCCATCTCTTTGGTTTAGATATGTGGTATTTTCATTATCGTTTAGTTCAAAATATTTTTTTAACTTCTCTTATGATTTTTTTCTTTGACTTATGAACCACTTAGAAGTATGTTTCTTAATTCCCAAGCATATGGGACATATTAGCTTCCCAGGGTTGCCATAACAAAGTAGCACAAACTAGATGGCTTAAAAGAACAGAATTTTACTCTCATAGTTCTGGAGGCTAGAAGTCTTAAAATCAAGGTGTTGGCAGAGTTGGTTCCTCCTGGAGCCTCTGAAGGAGAAGCTGTTCCATGCCTGTCTCCAGCTTCTGGTATTTCCTGACAATCCTTACCGTTCTTTGGTGTGTAAATGCATCATTCCCATTAGTCCCTTTGTCTTCACATGGATTTGTTCTCTCTGGGTGTCTGTGTCTCCGTGGTGCCCTGTTTTATAAGGACACTGATCGTACTGCATTTAGGGCCCATCTTAATCCAGCATCACCTAATTTTAACTTGATCACAACTGCAAAAATCCTGTTTCCAAATGGTATCACATTCACAGTTCCTGTGTAGACATTAAATTTTGAGGGGGACACTGTTCAACTCAGGACATGGACTTCAATGGCTATTGCTTTGTCATTCACTTCTAATTGCATTGTGGCCAAAGAATGTAGTCCATCTCCCATTAAGTCTTTGCAAATTTTGAAAATGTTTGATGGCAAGTTATGTAGCCAATTTTTTAAAAGCTTCAAGTATGAGTGCTAAGAAATGTGTATTCTGTATTTTCTACAGTTTTCCAGTGCTATGTTCTATACATACTCATCATGTCAAACTTGTTACATTGTTGAAATCTTCTGTCACTTACTTATTGCCACCAACACATAAGCCAGCAATGCAACATTTTCTAAAACACAATGATAAATGTTTCATTTCATGCCTGATGTACTTTCAACAAGCACTGCATAAATCAACATTTCCTTGACTGAAAACCAGAAAAATAAAAAAGTAACAGTAATCCAAATGTCGCATTATGACGCTGGGAATAAGAATACAAAGCTAAATGACGAGAAGTTGCTTTGGTCAAAATATCTGCAAGAATTATTTTATTTTCAATACAAATATTATATTCATCCTATTTTTAATTTGAACAATTTTGTGATTTCTACATGATAAATAATAATTGCTATAATTTTGAGTGTTTACTTGCATCGGGCATCTTATACAGATTATTTTAATCTTCGTAACAACCCAGTAGGATAGATATTAATATACAAAGTTTTGCTTATTTTAGATTGTGTTCAGTATATATTAGCTCAACGATTAGCCCTGTGGCTTCTCTACACTAGGCTGGAAAAGACATTTAGAACAAAAACATTTATGTTAGAGGAAAGACAATGCTTTCTAGTAATAAATCTGAGCCTTTGAGATGGGAAGTGATGGGATGTCCCATTTATACCTGGGCTCTCTAAGAAAAGCTTACTTGTACTAGTCCCAAAGGAAGGTGTGAAAGGACTTTATATAAAAGGCTGATTCTTGTAAATCTGTAGTGGAAAAAATTAGTTATTTTCTTTCTTCAGGAAATCTATGCAATGTTTTAACATTTATTTGTTTCTCTATTTCACAGATTGATATCTGTATATCAGTATTCAGCTGTAGATCAACTGTCCATGAAAACAAAGTCTTTTACCTTTGTTCTTTGTTTTATAATGATTCCTTTGAACCCAAGAGAAGAGATAGTCAATGCAATCAGACTCTGAAATAGAGAATACATCTTCTAAAAGCAGATAGACTTTAGCAGTGACAACAGTTACGTTTTTGGGAGGCAGAACATTCATCGCTGCACTGTTTACAATAGCAAAGACGTGGAACCAACCCAAATGCCCATCAATGATAGACTGGACAAAGGAAATGTGGCACATATACATCATGGAATACTACACAGCCATAAAAAATGATGAGTTCGTGTCCTTTGTAGGGACATGGATGACACTGGAAACCATCATTCTCAGCAAACTTACACAAGAACAGAAAATCAAACACCACATGTACTCACTCACAGGTGGGTGTTGAACAATGAGAACATGTGAACACATGGAGGGGAGTATCACACACTGGGGTCAGTTGGGAGGGGCTGGAGGAGGGACAGCAGGGAGGTGGGAGGGTTGGGAAGGATAATGTGGGAGAAATGCCAGATATAGATGATGGGGGGATGGAAGCAGCAAACCACCTTGCCATGTACGTACCTATGGAACAACCCTGCATGATCTGCACATGTACCCCAGAACCTAAAGTACAATTAAAAAAAAAAAATCTCAGGGATATCAACGTGGCAGAGCAGGATGCGTTGCTGCCTCCCTTCCCCAAAATCGTGGAGAAGGCACACAGGAAGCATGAATCTGAGATACTAATGATTATAACAATAATAAACATATCAAAACTGCAGAATATACATGTGCAAAAAAGAAGGGGGTGCAGCCAGGGGAAGAAAATAATAGAAAACTGCTCTAAGAAGTTAGGTTGCAGGAATGCTTTACTTTCTGCTCTTCTCTCTCTTTTGCTTCCAGGTAAAATCATATCTGTTCCATTACCACGTTGGGAGCAAGAGCTCAACATGGTGTTGACATCAGTCAGTCAATACCAAGGAAAGCAAAAGCCTTCCTTGGGTGAGGAGCTGGAGAAACAGGTGCAGACTTATCTGATCTTCCTGGGTATTCCCCCTTCCACACTCTTCCCTCCAAATTTCCAGGATGAATGACTTAGTCATTAGACATTTATTTCTGGGTGCTTAGGTACATTCCTGAGCAGCAGGTTCTCCTGATGAAGTAACTGTGAAAGGGAGTGGTATGGCAATGAAGGGCTCTGTCTGAGGGTTCATAATCTCCTCCTTCCATGAGCTCATCCAACAGATCAGGGACTAAAGGTGGCCCTTCTGCTCCTTCCCAGTCAGTCTATCTGATAGGCCCAGGGGAAAATGGGCCCCCTGGCCAAAGTAAATAAACCTGAGGAGCGAAACTACTACCAAAAAGAGACACCTAAATAACATATATTACCTGAAGCAGTATAATTGGAACAGATGAATCAAGAATTTTTTAAATGCATAATAGGCTAGGTGTGGTGGCTTATGCCTATAATCCCAGCACTTTGAGAGGCCAAGGCCGGTGGAGCACTTGAGCCTACGAGTTCAAGACCAGGCTGGGTAACATAGTAAGGCTCCTTCTCTACAAACGCTACAAAAATTAGTCAGGTGTGGCGGGGTGCACCTGTAGTCCCAGCTACTAAGGAGGCTGAAGACGGAGGATCAATTGAGCCCAGGAGGCTGCAGTGATCATGCTCTGCACTACAGCCTGGGTGACAGAATGAGATCTCATCTCAAAAAAAGTCCCTAATAAACATACAAACAGTAACATAGATACTTAATATACTGAAAGTAATGGAAGAAGTTACAGACATGAAAGCTGCAATTAATAAGTCATAAAAGAAGGAAAAAATGAAAATGATAGAAAAAAAGAGCAAGTTAGCTAAAGCCAAAGAAAATAATTGTGCATTGGAAGGATGGTAAGATAGAAGAACTCCCCTGGGAAGAGCAGAGAAAGGTAATAGTATAGAAAATGCAAAAGAAAAGCTAATATTTGTGGAGGACAAGAAGTGACAACATCTAAATAATAGTCTGAGAAAAATAGCTATGGAAAGATTTTATCCACATTCAAGCCGATTTGAAAGTCTGCTTTTTATCATATACTGTATCATCTCAAAGTCCTAAGAATTTCTCATAGGAGTATGTATTTATTGTACTTAATTAATCTGTTATTATGCATCTCTATCTCCCAATTTTCACTATGGTTAGTACAAAGTTAACACCCAAAAATCCATAAAGGCCAAATGTCTTTTTGAAAATTAAAAAGTATATATTTTTTATAGATTTGGGAGCACAAGTACAGTTTTGTTACTTGGGCATATTGCACAGTGGTGAAATCTGGGCTTCTAATGTAACTATCACCCAAATATTACACACTGTGCCCACCAGGAAAAAAAAAAAAGCAAAGATGTTAGTTTTTGAAAAGCACTGAGACCATCCCAAATTGAATTTCAGTCTCTGTCAATGTATATAAAAATATTTTTATGCACATTGTTATCACTGTGTAGATACTGTTCTATATTTTCACACACCCAATTTTAATTTAATTCCCATTTAGTGGCTCCCTGGTATTTCATCCTTCCAGTACAGGGAAATCACAGAGATGCTGTGGGTTTGGTTCCGGATCACCTCAATAAAGCAAATATTGCAATGAAGGGAATATTGCAATGAAGTAAATATCTCAATGATATTGGTTGGTTTCCCAGTGCTTATAAGTTATATACTATTCAGGAGTGTCCAAGGGAGAGAACACAGTCATGGGTTTTTTTGTTTTTGTTTTTGAGATGGAGTCACCCAGACCGGAGTGCAAGGGTGTAATCTCGACTCACTGCAACCTCTGTCTCCCAGGTTCAAGCAATTCTCCTGTCTCAGCCTCCCCAGTAGCTGAAACTACAGGCGCCTGCCACCATGCCTGGCTAATTTTTGTATTTTTTAGTAGAGACAGGGTTTCACCATATTGGTCAGGCTGGTCTCAAACTCCTGACCTCTTTAGTTTCTATTTCTGGCTGGGCCAGTAAAGCCGCTTCCTCATCTCTCTTTTCTGCTTATCACTAGGGACGGAAACTAAAAACCATGGCTTCTGGCTGCTAAAAGCCTAAAGCAAAACAAAACAGAACCACAACAAAAGTAACATAAGGTGGGTTGGACAAGCTTGCAGTTTACTCAGTGAGCGTTATGTCTAAAAAACAATGTACATTCCTTAATTTAAAATACTTTATTGCTAAGAAGTATTAACAACCATCTAAGCCATTCTTAAGCCCCAATCTTTTTTGCTGCTGGAGAGACCTGTCTTGATATTGATGACTTGCTGACTAACCAGGGTGGTGGTTGCTGGAGGTTGGGCGACTGTTCCAATTTCTTAAAATAAGACAAAAATGAAGTTTGCCATGTTGATTGATTTCCTTTACAAAAGATTTCTCTGTAGCATGCAAAGCTGTTTCATGGCATTTTATCCACAACAGAACTTTTTTCAAATGGAAGTGAATCCTCTCAAACTTGATACTGCTTTATCAACTAAGTTTACATAATACTCTAACTCTTTTATTGTCAGGTCAACAATGTTCCCAGCATCTTCACCAGGTATAGGTTCCATCTCAATAAATTGCTTTCATGATCATCCATAAGAAACAGCTCCTCATCCATTCAAGATTGATCTTGCAGCAATTCAGTCACATCTTCAGGCACATTTCTAGTTCTAGTTCATGTGCTATTTCCATTACATCTGCAGTGACTTCCATTGAAGTCCTGAACCCCTCAACATCATCCATGAGGGTTGGAATCAACTTCTTCCAAATCCTGTTAATGTTGATATTTTCACCTCTTCCCATGAATCACAAATGTTCTTAATGGCATCTGAAATGGTCAATCCTTTTCAGAAAGTTTTCAATTTACTTTGCCCAGATCCATCAGAGAAATTACTATCTATGGCAGTTATAATCTTATGAAATACATTTCTTAAATAACAAGACTTAAAAGTTAAAATGACTCCTTGATCCATGGACAACAGAATGGATGTTGGGTTAGCAGGCATGAAAATGACATTAATTTCCTTGTACATTTCCCTCAGAGCTCTTGGATGACCAGGTACATTGTCGATGCACAGTAATTTTTGAAAGGTATCTTTCTTTTCCGAGCAGGTGGTCTTAAGAATAGGCTTACGATATTCAGTAAACCAGTCTCTAAACAGATGTGCTGTCATCTAGGCTTTCTTATTTCATTTAGAAAGCACTGGCACATTAGATTTAGCATCATTCTTAAGGGCCCTAGGATTTTCCAAATGATAAATGAGCAATGGCTTCAACTTCAAGTCACCAGCTGCATTAACCCCTAACAGGAGAGTCAGTCTGTCCTTTGAAGTTTTGAAGCTAGGCATTGACTTTTCCTCTCAAGCTATGAAAGTCCTAGATGGCACCTTCTTCTGAAAGAAGGCTCTTTTGTCTACACTGAAAATCTGTTGTTTAATGTAGCTGCTTCCATCAGTGATCCCAGCTAGATCTTCTGACTCGACTGCTGCAGCTTCTACCTCAGCACTTACTGCTTCACCTGCACTTTTATGTTATAGAAATGGCTTCTTTCTTTCAACCTCATAAATCAACTTCTGCTAGCTTCAGACTTTTCTTCTGCAGCCTCCACACCTCTCTCAGCCTTCAAAGAATTGAAGAGAATTAAGGCCTTGCTCTGGATTAGACTTTGGGTTAAGGGAATATTGTGGCTGGTTTGATCTTTTATTTAAATGTCTAAAACTTGCTCTATATCAAGCAATAATGCTGTTTTTTTTTTTCTTATCATTCATGTGTTCACTAGAGTAACCGTTTTAGTTATTTAATTTAATTTCATTCAAGAACTTTTCCTTTGCTTTCACGACTTGGCTAACGATTTGGCACAAGAAAGCTAGCTTTCAACCTGTCTTGGTTTTCAACATGCCTTCCTTTCTAAGCGCAATCATTTCTGTCTTTTGATTTAAAGCAAGAGATGTGTGACTATTCTTTACATTTGAATACTGAGAGGTCAGTGTAGGGTCATTTGGCTTAATTCAATATTATTGTGTTGCAGAAAATAGGGAGGCCCAAAAAGAAAAAGAAAGATAAGTCAAACTACAGGAATACCTTTGTAATGTTTTTTTCCTAGTTGCTCTACAGAAACACTGAATCTATTTCCAGTGTGAACAACAGTGTATGTTCTGGTAACTGAGGGGAAAACATTTTTAATTGCTGGCATTATGGAATGACTTTAGTTCAAAACTGATATGCAAATAGAAAAACCATACTAAAAAATGCATTAACAATTTATGGAAGAAATAGAACATTAAATGAAAGAACTAAATGCACAAGATCTATATGAGGAAAAGTATGAAACTGTGAAGAAAGATGATATAGTTTAAATATTTGTCTCCTCCAAATCTCAGGTTAAAATATGCTCTCCATTGTTGAGTCTGGCACCTTCTCCTCACACTCTTTGCCTTCTCTCTCGTCCCATGACATGCCTGCTCTTCCTTCACCTTCTGCCAAGAATGGAAGCTTCCTGAGGCCCTCACCAAAAGCAAATGCTGATGCCATGCTTGTATAGTCTGCAGCACCATGAGCCAAATAAACGGCTAGCAATGTCCTGATACTAGGCTTATATGGGAAGGGAAAAGACCTGGAATAACCAGCACAATACTGAAGAAAAGAACTAAGTTGGAGGATTCAAATTACCTGATTTAAAGACTTACAATAAAGCTGCAGTAATCAAGACAGTGTCGGCATGGTATTGTCAAAAAAAAAAAAAAAAAAAAAAAAAAAAAGACACATAGATTAACTAAACAGAATAGAGAGCCCAGTAATAGACCCACAAAAATATAGTCAACAGATCTTTGACAATGAAGCAATGGCAATTCAATGGAAAAGTTTTTTCAACAAATGGTGCTTTAACAATTTAAATACCTAAACGCAAAAAGAAGTCTAGACATAAAGTTTATATCTTACACATTTCACAAAAACTCAAAATGTATCATAAAACAGAATGTAAAACACAAAACATTAAAACTTATAGAAGAAAACAAAGGAAAAATTTTAGTGGAACTTAGATATGACAATGTGTTTTTAGATAGAACATTAACAGAATCCATGAAGGAAAGAAAAATATTGATAAGTTGGACAGTATTAACATTTTTAAAATGATCGCTCTATGGAAGACACTGTTAAGAGCATGAAAAGATAAGCCACAGACTGGGAAAAATATTTGCAAGACATGTATGTGATAAAGAACTTGTATCTAAAATACACAGCAAACTTAACTGGAACTACAGGGAAAAACAGACAAATCCACCATTCTAGTAAGAGATTTCATCATTCATGAAAAATGTATTAACTATTTATGGAAGAAACAGAATATCAAATGAAATAGCAACGTATAAAATCTATACGTGGAAAGCTATGAAACTGCGAAGAAAGTTTATAAATATATTTACATGTATATATAAATACAAGTGTGAATAATACTGCAAGAAACTGGTGGTATCAGAGACATTTTTGACAGAAAGTCAAAAGAGCTGAAGAGGAGCAACCTAGCAATGAAGATTTGTGAAGCAAGTATATTCAATAAAAACCCAAATGATCTGGACAGAGAAAACTGTATAAATAATCTTTCAGTGCAAAGACATAGACATGTACCCACAAGAAACAACAGCAAACAGGAAACCATGACTTCCCCAAAATGACAAAGCAAAAATCCAGTGACTGACCTTAATAAGAGGGCAGTCTGTGAGCTCTCTTCAATTGCGACCAACAATTCAAAATAGCAGTTTTGCAATGGACACAGAGAGGGGAACAACAGACAATGGGGCCTATCGGAAGGTAGAGGGAAGGAGAGAATCAGGAAAAATAACTAAGCGGTCTTGCTGCGTTGTGCAGGCTGGTCTCAAACTCCTGGGCTCAATTGATCCTCCTGCCTTGGCTGCCCAAAATGGTGGAATTACAGGTGTGAGCCACTTTGCTCGGCCACACACACACACTTTAAATTACTCATAGTTCAAAATGAAATTAAGATAAAATTAAAAGCACTTTGAATTGATGTCTGGAAGGAGACAAAAGACACTTTTGACACTTTTTACATTAGTACTATTTTGGGTGGGGATGAGGTGGTTAATGATGACAGGGGTGAGTGGAAGACAGTTTATTGTATCTACTTTTGTGGCTTATAAATTCTTGTCAATGTAAACATATTTCATAATCAAAAGTGAATTTATAACATTTAATTAAAATACTTAGAAATAATTGATAATGAAAACAGTACTTATCAAATTTTGAAGGATGAAGCTAAAATGAGAGAAATGTGTAGACATAACCTGCCATTTATTTTTAAAAGGTTAATTATTAATTAAGTAGGCAACCAGTTTAAGAAGTTGGAAAGATGAAGCAATTTCTGGTTAAGACTGATCAAAAAACAAAGCGCACATAAACAATATTAGGAATACAAATAAAGCTATGGTAACATTATCGATAAAAGAGAGATATTAATAACTAACATTAAATTTTAAAAAGGGTATACTATAGATCATTAGAAATTTTAAAATACGTATTTAAAAAACATTATGCCAACAACTGGAGAATCTAGGTGAAATGGACAAATTTCCATGAATATATAAAATGCTGAAAGAAAAAACAGAAAGCTAAATAATCTAATATAAATAAGGAAATTTTCAGTCAAAAATCTTTCAACAAAGAAAAGATTGAGTTCATATAATTTTACAGGTGAGTTCTATAAAAATCTTCCATGGGACCGGTCACTCTAGTCTTTTACAAACTTTTCCAGAGAAGAGAGAAAGAGAAAAATACTCACAAACCAATATGAAGATTATAATATTGGTAACAAAAGATGACTGATACAGGAAAAGAAATAAAAATTCCAGGCCAACTCACTCATGATCACATACATGCAAATCTGAAATTATTAGCAAATCAAGTCTAATAATGTATAAAAATATGTAATCACCAAACTCTAGAGAATGCAAGGACATAACAATTTATAAATGCCAACAAATATCAAATTTAGATGAAGAGGAAAAATCCCTAAACTACAAAAATTTACCAAAACTGACTCCATAAAAAACTGGAAAATGTGAATCATCCTATAACCATCAGAAAAATTAAAATAGTAGTCAAAATTTTTTTTCCCAGAAATAAAATATTAAGCCCAGATGGCCCTACTGGCCAGTTCCACTAAATATTTAGGAAACACATAACTCATACTGATTCTTTCAGAGGATAGAAAAAGTAGTATCAGTCAGCAACTCAGTTTATGAGACTAGCATAACACCAATTAAAAAACATCCAAAAACAGTCCAAAAAAACTCAGGTAAATCTCTTAAAACTCATTAGCCAGTCAGTAGGAAACTGAATCCAGTGATATTATCTTACAGAAAAAAATGGAATGTAACCTAAGGTTGATGTAAAGTTTAAAAATAACCTATAATATAATTTACTCCATTAATGCATTAAAAGAAAAACACTGGCCGAGAGTGATTCCAGCACTTTGGGAGGCTGAGGCGGGTAGATCACGAGGTCAGGAGTTTGAGACCAGCCTGGCCAACATGGTGAAACCCCTTCTTTACTAAAAATACAAAAATTAGTTGAGCATAGTGGCGGGCAACTGTAATCCCAGCTACTTGGGAGGCTGAGGCAGGAGAATTGTTTGAACCCAGGAGGCGGAGGTTGCAGCGAGCCCAGATCACACCATTGTACTCCAGTCTGGGTGACACGGCGATACCCTGTCTCAAAAAAAATAAAAAAATAAAAAAACAAGAAAAAACATTATGATTATCTGAATACCCAGAAAAACACTTGATAAAATTTAACAACAAAGGTTTTTAGCAAAGTAGAAATAGAAAAGATTATTCCTAACCAGATAAAAGGTATCTGACAAAAGACTCAGGAAATTTTATCCATTCTTCATTGTGAAGTTTCAAAATACCCCTTTTAAAACTAGGAAGAGGAAAAGAATGCCTACTATCATTACTTGTATTCCCAAGTCTATGACAAGAACATAAAAACAAAACTGGCCCGGGGTGGCTCATGCCTGTAATCCCAGCACTTTGGGAGGCCAAGGCGGGTGGATTATGAGGTCAACAGTTTGAGATCAGCCTGGCCAACATAGTGAAACCTTGTCTCTACTAAATACACAACACATACACACACACACACACACACACACACACACACACACACACACGCACGCACACATTAGCTGGGCATGGTGGATAGGGGCTGTAATCCCAACTAGTTGGTAGGCTGAGGCAGGAGAATTGCATGAGCCCAGGAGGCAGAGGTTACAGTGAACCGAGATGGTGCCACTGCACTCCAGCCTGAGTGACAGTGCAAGACTTTGTCTCAAAAAGAAAAACCAAACACCAAAATTATCTTGAATCATAGATGCCATCATGGTATATACAAAAAATGCAAATGAACGTACAAATTATTAGGTGATTTGTATGGTATGGCAATTATAGCTCAATAAACCTGTTTACAAAAAATCAGTTCTTAGTGGATGAGAGAGCAAATGTGAGACAAAACTTTTAAAAGTATGGGAGATGGCTTTATGACTTCAAGGTAAGGAAAGGTAGGACTTAAAGGGCACTAACTTGAAGAGATTAATGAATTAGATTGCAATACAATTAAGAACACTTTTTATCAAAAGACACAAGAAAAGAGAATGAAAAACTAAATCATGAACTGGAAGGGAACATCTGCAACATACGTAGTTTACAAAATATTATTATCCAGAATGTCTCTGGTATATCAACAAGCAAAAGATAAATAACCCAAGAGAAAAGAAGTGAAACAATGCATGACCCGGCACTTTATAAAAGGCAAATTTCAATGCTAAACGTAGAAAGGTGCCTGGCTTCATTAGTCATCACAAATGCAAATTTAGGCTATTTTGATATCATTTTACAATCACCATATTTGCAAAACGTAAGAAGTCTGACAATACCAAATGTTGGCAAGAATGTGTATCAATGGGTACTTTTACATACAACTGATTCAGGTGTAATGTGACAAAACCTTACTCTGAGTTAACTTGGCACTACCTAGGAAAGCTGAACACTTTCATAAGCTATATCCCAGCAATTTGTAGAGAATCTCTTACACATGAATACCAGGGACATGCTCAAGAATGTATGCAGCAGCGTTTGAAGAACTACATAACTAAACTTGTCCCTCATGGTTGTCACTGATCTATCTTCATAGAATGGGATATTACATACAGCAAAATGAATTAACTAGAGCTGTGCACAAGACAATGGGTGAATCTTAAACATAAGATACTGAACGAAAAATGCAAACCAGGTTACCTACAACATGCAACCATTTTTATAAAGTTAAAAACAAACAAAAATAAAGAATATTTTGTTCAGAGAATATATATATATATATATATGATAAAGCCATAAAACATTATTAGGTAACTATCAACACACTATTATGGATAATGGTTGCCTCTGGGGCAGGTGGTCAGGAATATGGGAAAGGAAGGAGCACACAGGTAGTGTTGTAACCAAGCAAGTTGTAAGGAAAAGCGCCACACTCTGAGATTGACAGGAGTCCTATTATTGCC